TATTACTTTTTATTCTGTCAAAAGTCATTGCAGGAACAAACCCCGACCCTCAAATGATCATCAAATACGCGCACGATTAATCAAATTTGTTCCTTCAACATACAGTGTCACGTGAGATCAGGTTAGTCTACCCGGTTTGTCTTCATGCATTACGCTCCAAAGGTCTAACCGCAAAGTAGTAAGATAAGATACCATGTTGTGTCTATATACCAAAGGATTTCCTCGGCTTGCACCGTAACACGTATTTCGATCACAACGAATGATAACTACATGTATGTTAGTGATTTTCAATGTTAGTGTCGATATGATGCATTCAAGAGTAAACTACGTTTCTTGTCAGAGAGATAAGATGTAAAATTGAAGTGTTACTTGTTAATTAGTTAAACCAGTCAATCACTCTGATTAGATACGTCTTTGTATACAGGCCATTGACACTTTTGACAGCTAATTGATCGCCGTGAACTTCCAGTCCCGTCACATACATGACGTTGTGTCGCATATTTTACTCTCGGCTCTATAATACTAAAATACATACAAATTTATAGAACAAACGAATGGCTTATAAAACAGACTAACTAAATACTGTTATATTGGGTCACAAACATACTAAATAACATTTTTTTATTTGGTATAAGAATTTTTACGAAAGAAACCTGCCTTCTACATCTCCATGAACGCCGCTCACTATTGTCGCTTGGTGGCGCTGACCAGCGGCTTTGTCAGTGTCAGCCATGCGCCACCGAGCCGCCAACGATTTGCAGATTAAGAATAAAAGAGAATTATTCACAGTACTGCAAAGTGCTAGTACACGTAAATAATTACAGTTCTCATTAAAGTTCTTTGAGTGAAGTATTAAGTTGACAGCATAATTTCTTCGATAATAATCCTTGAAACAGAGTTCCACCCAGTGAAGGCATCGCCAATATTTTCACCAAAGCAACCACTGACACGGAAATCTACGTAAACCCGACGACTTCCTGGGATCCCAAAACACAGTCCTTCCACTGAAAGAAACACGATATATTAGCATACAACTGATTTTACCCACACATAAAACTAATTATTAAGCAGTACGTACAGTGCGTACCATCATAGCTCAAAGAAACATTATTCATATGAAATAAGACGACAACGTGTCATCTCAATTCGTCACCTCAGTTCGATTGAGCAATACGTATAGGTATAGGTGCCATTTTGATGTGAAGGACTAGTTTTCCTCCGAGGGACACTATTTCTATCAAACTACCCAACTAGTTTACAGTGCAGTGAATATTGCGTACTGGCAGAATAATATTTACGACATATTCTTTTTTTTTACATGTGGTTATTCGACATAGCATAATTTGTATACACAATCCACATTTGGCAGTACCAAGCCCTGCCATTTGTTCAATGGCAATTAATGTTGCGTTTGTAGTCGTCATTTTAGTCGTTTAGGGTCTCCTATAATTTACCTCAAAAATAGTCCATTGAGGAATTTGAAACACGAATGGACGTCAGGGACGTACCATGAACCATACTTCCAACGGCTAATAAGAAATGTCACTAACCCACCGCCATCCACTTTTTTGTCTTACTAGGCTCTCATTGTCGTAAATTCTGATAGGCCCCTTAGTAATTACCTGGCACTAAAAGAACATTCAAATAAAAATAGTCTCAAAATGAAACGCACATGAGCTTACTGTCGTTGGTGGCGCAAGTCATTGGTATGCCTAAATACAAGCAGTGAACCAGGGCTAACACACCCCTAACACACACATATGTCTTTTCTTGATGCGCTCAACAGTAGACTGTAAAAGAATTGGCTCGGAAGCTTTACATCCCATAGAATGAGTTACTTAATTGCTAACCTGTCGAGCCTCTCAGATGATTAACACCTTGATGATTTGCCAATTACCGTATCTATTGGTAGTGGGTTGGAACACTCTTCGCCATTGAAAGTGAAAAACCAGCGGTTACAGGCGCCATCATTTGACACAACACGGAGATTTCCGCTCCACACAACCCGGAGTGCTGACTCGTTAGAGTATTTTGTGAATTCACATTCCTGGTAAGTAAGCATAAAGAACAGGTAAACAGTAACCTTTCAACGATAAAACATTATAAAGGTGTTTTGAACACAATAAGAAAGACATCGGACGTTTTGTTATGCATGTTTCTGGCGCAATAGCTAATACACGTGGTATCAACTGACTAATGAATGCGCACAGAGTAAATAACAATAGTGATTGAAAACAATTCCCTGATACGAGTTTGTTGAAAGATAATGACCCTTTCATTTCATGTGATTTTTTACGCTGCGATTTGGAAACACGGGTGAGCGGTGTACTGTGTGTCTGTGCGTTTGGAACATTCGAAATTTGTCCCGCCTTCTTGTTTGTTGACGTCAAGTAAGCGCACAAACGCTATCAATTCGGGAATTTCAACTTCAGTAAAGCACATGAATAACGTACAGTGCCGTGCCGTGTCCAGGGAGAGTTGTCTGAATAAAATATGATACGCAAGCTGAAGTAAAATAAAACGCGTAAAATGTTGTGATGTGAACTGACAAGATGACCATAAACATAAATATTTTGTTGTTTTGCTCCATCAAAATGAACTGTTGTTAGAACATGATTTAGCTAAAACATAATTATGCAATTTAGCTCGTTGGTATGTGCGAATTGGCCTGAAAAAACAAACAGATTTGCACAACTATATCAATACAAATGTTCACATAAATATCTGTTTTGATGCCAAATACGAATACAATCGTCGCATTGGTGGCTGCGATAAGAGCAAATAACTGCATTGTTTTAATTTGCATATTTTTGGGAGGGCGTGGTCATCACTGCCAAAGGCACATCTACTCGTTCCAAGGTGTAATCATACCAAACACGAATAAAATCGACATGGTGGTGGTAGAGATAGCAGCAAATAACTGCATTGATCTAATTTGCATATTTTTTGGAGAGTGTGGTCATTACTGTCAGAAGCACATCTACTCGTTCCAAGGTGTTATCATACCAAATATGAATAAAATCGACACGTTGGTGGTAGAGATAGCAGCAAATAACTGCATTGATCTAATTTGCATATTTTTTGGAGAGTGTGGTCATCACTGTCAGAAGCACATCTACTCGTTCCAAGGTGTTATCATACCAAATATGAATAAAATCGACACGTTGGTGGTAGAGATAGCAGCAAATAACTGCATTGATCTAATTTGCATATTTTTGAGAGGGCGTGGTCATTACTGTCAGAAGCACATCTACTCGTGCCAAGGTGTAATCCTACCAAATATGAACGAAATCGGCTCAATGGTTGTGAGATCAAAGGAAATAACTGGATTTAGGTAATTTGCATATTTTTGGGGTTGAGTGTGGTCATATTAAAGGAGAACTAAATAGAGCCTATTTTGGTGTTTGTATTTATCAAGTTATGTATATTGATTATAAATTTGAAAAAATAAATAAAAACGAATGATTATCTTCAGAGTTATGATGATTTAAATATGAGAAACCATAAACCTGCGAAGGACTTCCGTTTGCGCCATCTTGCCATAAAAAACGCCCTCATGAGGTATAAACAGGTAAGGTAACAAAGTATGATGACGAAATAGTATCTGATTAAATATAAGCAACTTAGGGAGCCATAGTTGGCTGGACTGGTGAATTGACTTCTAGTCTAGGTTGTTTCGACTTTTATTGATCCAGACAGGCATTTTGTTTTGTTTTTTGTCTAATTGTCTAATAAATGCTAACCCTAACCCTAACCTAAAAGATGACTTCCTGATAAGGAAGCTATTTTGAAATTGGGTTCTGAGAAGTTGGTTTTGAGGTTTGAAAAGTTGGTTTTGAGTTCTGAAAAGTTGGTTCTGAGGTTCTGAAAAACATAGAGTATACACTACCCTAGTTCGATGACGGGCGAAATAATCTCACCGGCACTAAAACAACGATATACCCTCGCAATACTGCAGTTACTGATGCGTTGTTAGCAATCAACTTCCCGGGATGACTCTGATTTTGAACAATATTTGTACAGCCGGCGTTAGGGTGCCATAACTCAAAACATAGGCTCGACCAAGCAAAGTTTTTAATATGTACATTAAACAGTTTGGTTTATTTCTGTATTCATAAAAAAAATTCAAAACCATCACATAAAAATTACAAACAATTTTACGCTAAAATAATGATGATGTGGTTATTTGTCACTCGACCGTCAACTACGTGGGTACGTGGTGTGTTCGAAAATGGGACACACTGTGTCATACCTCGTCTATATCATAGTTTCGATAAATATTTTATGGCCGAAACTAAGGAAACGAGAAATGTGCACGCGAGCGTGAAGCCGACAACAAAATCGTTCCTTTTGGATATTTGCCCCCTCCAAAAAGCCGGTGGTGGCGCTGTTCAATACTACTTACTAGTATGCCGCTAACTCATAACTTACGGCTCGAAGGCAATCTGATTTTGTGATTTTTTTTTAATTCCGCCCTACACACATCTGATGTATGTAGGGCGGAATTAGAAAAAAATTAAAAAATCAAAAATCAAAGTAAAATAAAATAATAAAAAGTAATAACAAAAGTAATAAAAAAATAAAATTAAAATAAGTTTATAGCCAAAATAATTAAAGCCCGTACACTACATCAGATTTTAATCAGACTGGGCTCGAAGGATACAATGCGTTTCAAATCGAATGTGGAATTAAATAATATAAGCGAATGGTACAGCCAGAATTGTGTACATATATAAGGTACATTTAGACATAGTTATTCAAAGTAAATGTATTTTATTGTCATTATTCAAATAAATCGTCAATATTTAAAAATTGTCATTCGTCCTGACTTATCTTACACTTTTGCCTACCGCCCTTGGGTCATCCACAAGCCGCCAAGTGTGACTACCGGGCCCCGTTTACCATCGCAACAGCCAGGCGTCACTTTTTTGACTGAGAGCGTCGCGTGCCAGGGCGCGGCGCGGCTCATAGCGGTCCACCACTGTGACGTGACAGATGTATTTTAACGCGTGTCGCGCCCCGCCAGAGCCTTTACCAGTACAGTATAATACGGATTCGGGAATAACTAACTGTAAACCGCAGGGTTCATCTTTATTCTATGACAAACTGATAATTTTTCTAGGACTTTCAGCACCGCTTGTGATACAAATTTGTCCGCCTTTTAAAAAATATTGTGCATTAAAAAAACGAGCGCGCGGGCGTGATATTACAGACTAAGGAGTAGCTACTAGAGGGAACTCTATCCCCAAATCAAGCCGTATTCCTAAACTATGAACCTACCTTAACAATGGCATTATTTCGATCATCGTTGATGTTCTGCCAGGCACATTGTTTGATGTTGCGGGATGGCGGTTTCTCCCCGTCTTTTCCTGGGGGACCCTTTGGTCCAGGAGCACCAACGTCGCCCGGTTCACCTTTGGGACCGCCATGGCCATGCTGTCCATGCGTACCTGGTATTCCGGGGATACCAGCACACCCAGACATACAGCATTTTGTATCAGCCTTAACAAGAACAAATGTAAAATGAACAAGACACAAGATGGACAAATATGGTTTCAACAGTTTTCAATTAATTAACAAATGAAAATAATGAAAAAGGTTCATGATATTTTTTGTGAACCGAATTAGTACAATTATATCTCAGGTGTTTAGATTATCAATAAATTGTACAAATGATAAAACAGAAATTAAAACAACAGTAAAACAAAAAAATAAAATTAACTAAAGTGTGAACATGACAAAACATCCAATATTGTTCAATGCAGAAGATTTAAAGCTGAACTAAATCACAATATTTTCCGGGTAATTACAAAAAAAATAGCCAACCAAATGTTTAAAGCAAAGCCATAGTGCTAGCATGATATACTAGTAATCTATTGTTCTAACATCCGCCAACCTTCCATAGCGTTCAGTTTTCGTTCAACGTTTACTAGGAAAGTATTTTTAATTTCTTGGTTTTCAATGCCTGGAAAAATGAATGTTACTTTTCTGAACTGTCCGTATTTACTGTTTTTCAGAACGAGGCTGCTCGCATATAATCCGAGTGGATAGTAAAACTTCCCATTCACTGTTTCAAAAGTATTTTTGAGAAGCAACACCCGAATTTTGAACCAACGATTTCAAGATGAATCAGGTGTGATTTCTTCAGGTCATTCACTCATTGGCCCACTGTTGTATTATAAGCAGTTACGTAACACACATACAATGTGACAACACAACCCGCGATGGA